TTTCTGTGAGTTTTACAACACACGCAGACCCTGACGCCTCTGTCAGGTGAGGGGGGAAGCTGAGGTGTGACACAGGAAAGAATCAGGGAACTCTCATCACCGTCTAATCAAAGTCTCTCTAACGGCCATTTGGCTCAGAGCTAGTTGACAGCAGTGGCGGTTAGACTTATCAAGGAAGTCACCGGTAGACAGCGTAGGAGAAGGCTTGTGGCCTCACGCTCAGCTTCAGCTGCTCACCAAGAGAAAACCACAAGAGGAGGTGCAACAGAATTCCATAAAGGTGAGTAAGAAAGATATTTTTATCGCATTTAAGCTCAGTTTTGTTTCAAATATTTTAACATTGATTTCTGTTCTTTAAAAAGGGACATTATCACACAGTTGTTGGGATCAAAATGTCTTGGCACAGATTGTGACCTTTGTCTGCTGGAAGTCAGAATTTGCCTCGCCCTCCAGAGTTATTTAAACACAGGGGAGTGCAGCATCATTACGCTGGCATTACCCATCAAAGAGCTGCGTGGGGCTGGTATTGAGCAGCATTAATCTGAACTCACAACCATTTTTATTTAGGGTTCTCAGGGTCCTTTTTTTGCTTGTATTAGAAGATAACAGCAGGAAAATGAAGCTCAAAAAAGCCACGCTACAAACCACAATTCATCTTTAACTCTGTGGTTCAGATGATCGAAGCCGGCGTCACATGTTCCTGTAGCTCCATCCATCTCCGCGCTCTCTGTCACAGTTAACCATTGTTAAGCCGGGTGTTCCTGCTGCTCTGCGACTATGAAAGGGTGCTTTGTGTCCAAGGAGCGGTGAATCCAGTTGTTGCCCCTTGTGAGGACATGCTTCCTTATATCCCCATATTAATACACCACTTATGGAATGTAAGGAAGTGTGTGGTTTCAAGGGGCCTTGAGCGCCAACCACACCATCAAGAAGCTGATTTTATTTTCTTATCTTCTAGAAAAAGTGGAGTGCAGTTATAAAAGATGGAGCTCTGTTCAGCACGACTGTCTGTTTTATGAGATGGGGAGGGGGGATGTCAGAGTTCATGTGTGTGTGTGTGTGTGTGTGTGTGTGTGTGTGTGTGTGTGTGTGTGGCAGGACAACAGGTGAAAGGCCTGTTCCCTCTCCCTCAGTTAGTGTTACTCTCAGCGCCGATGATCGGGTCTCAGGGAACTTCTTGAAAAATTCCTGCCCTGCCCCAACGGCTGACAGTCAAGGAGGATTGACAGACCACAGCTGTCACCCATTATAGCAACCACAGGACTCTCAAAAAAGGGAAGGAGGGGAGGGAGAGATGTGGAGCTGTCACTGAGAGTGAAGGGTTCGCTCCTGTAGGCTGGATTTGGAAGGAAATGGGGCGATGTCACCGGCTGTCAGGCTTCCCAAACCTCTAAATAGGAACTATCTGCTCGGAGACTCTTGTTTCTGTGTTGTAACTATGCAGGATATGTCAGGAGTGACTCAGCCATCATGTTCTCTTTCTCTCTCTGTGTCTCATCAGGTAAGGCTGAAGAGGACGTGACAGCCTCGCCGATGATCTCCACCTTCTATTTCTCCTCTCTCGTTTCCTTCTTTTCCTATGTCCTCTACCCCTGTAACCTTCCTTCCCTCTACCCCCCCTCCACTCCTCGCTGCATGCCTCCCCCCTCCTGCCCTCCCGCTCCCTCCCCCCCTCGCTCTGCCTCTTGCAGCTGAAGCAACACGCCTTGCTGTGGCTGGTCAAACGGAACCAAGTCAGGTGTTTCTGTGAGGTTTGGTCCCCTTCAACCAGCTACTGCGTCGTGAATTCAGTCAGCGTGGACTCAGAGACACAGTGGCGTTGTGGTGTACGCTGCATACTCTGGAGGTGGTAGTTAGCTGTGATAGGTTGTTTCTCTTCTTCAGTAGTTTGGTGTTTTCCTGTGTGGCGGTGGATGTTTGAGAAAGAAAATAAAAGATTGCTGAACACATAAAATGGTGAATTAAAATTTATTCTAAATGTCTGAAGTTTCTTTTTTTTACTAACTGAATTGCAGATTCATTATTTCCTTTTACAAACCCTTTTAAAACTGTGTGGATTTTCTCCCCCTTGTTTCTGATTAGTTACAGACAGACTCATGATAGTTTTTGTATTTTGATTAGTTTTTATTTTAATTTCATTTTTAATTTTTGTTTGAGAGAGGTTTAGTTTGAGTTAGTTTTCAGAGAGAGTTTGCTTGGTCCTGTTTATTTATTTTAAAAAAAGTTAAGTTGTTTTTTTTAATTTCAGTATTAGTTTAAGCTTTTTAATAGGCAGTAATTAAAATATACAGATATGCTCTTCCTAATGTCTAAGTTTACATTTTTTAACAATTGTAAAACATTCATAGTCAAACTTCCATTTAAAAATGTTATTATTATTATTATTATTATTATTATTAGTTATAGATGGATTTATTATAGTTTTTTTCATTAGTCATTAGTTTTTGTTTCAATTTCATTTTCAATTTTTGTTTGAAATTGAGTTTAGTTTAAGTGATTTCTCAGAGTGGGTTTGCTTGTTTCTTTTTTTAAAATTATTTTTATTTAACAATGTTAAGTCTAGTTTAGCTCATATTAGTTTCAGTACTAGTTTTATCTATTTTATAGGCACAATGGTGAATTAGAATTTCATCAAGTTTACATTTTTTTTAACACATTTGTAAAACATTCATAAAGTCGAACTTCCATTTAAAATGGTGTTTTTTAATTTTACTTCTTCATTAGTTATTTACAGAGTTATTATAATTTTGTATTCATCATTATTACACACATTTTTTTTAATATTTATTTTTTTGTGTTTTTTTTTTAAAAAAAAATTATTTATTTTTTTTAGTTTATCTAAATTTGTTGTGTTGTTAATGGCCCACTCCAACATATTGAACTGATAACAGAACATAAAGAAAAATAATTTGCTGAGACAGGCAGCCACACATCACTATCCACAATAACCATTAGCAAATGTATTTATAATCATAAATAAAATGAATAAATAGCCATTATTATTGTAACTACTGGTTCCCATATTACAGTTCACTAGAGTTTTTGTATGTGATTAGTCCATGTGGTGTTGCCGTACGAGCAGAAGCAGTTGCTTGATTCCTGTGAGTACAATCACTGCCAAACACTGTATTTCATTACGTTTTAATTCAAACCAGCCTGTCATGAAAATGTCTTTAAAAAGGTCATAAAGAAAGTCATGCTTTTTCTGTGCGGGCTTCCCTAAAATGTGACTCAGTCATCAAACTTTGAGAAACCCTGATTAAGATTTTGTTTAGATATGCTATAAGCGGTCAGTTTAGCTTTGAAGTTTCCAAAAATTTCTCCCTAAGCCATTTTTAACCAGACCTTCCTGGAGAGTTGGATTGTGATGTTTGTGATGTTGACAAATTTGCCCAAACTGACAAAAACTAAAGACACTTCCTGTATCTATATTCTTCATTTAGTTAGTTACGTATGTACACAATATAGTTTCAGTTAGTTTCTTGTTTTTTTTTTCTTTCTTGAGTCTAGTTTTTATTTGTATTTCAGTGAACCAGTTAATGTTTCTAACACATTTTCTGCCTTTCTTTTTTTTCTAATTTTAGTTTTAGTAACCTATAATAACCTTGGCTATAGAGTGATATAATATTTGTAACTTTCATCCAAGTATTGCACTGATAACACTACAATTATGTACAGTTTAAGTCTGATGGTACTATTTTGTGTTGTACTGCCAAAAGCTCATCTAAGTGGTGTTTTGTACAATATGCACAATACCACGTTCAGCTGCACCAACAAGTCTAACTTGACCCATTTAAAGGGAGACGGTAACTTTGTATCTGTAGTAATAACAAGGTTAAGATGACTTTTGTCGACCCTGTTAGAGATTTTTCCACTCAGTACTTTGTGAGAAGCTGCCGTCTTTGTCATTTGGCCTTCAACATATTCAAAAAGGCAGCAAGAAAAAAAATGTATGAATTGAGTGTGCTGAAAATGAAATGGCCTAAAATGAAAAAAAAAACATACATTTTTCGTGAAAAACTAATTTACTATTAAAAAAATGTATAAAAATATATATTAAAAATAGAATATATATTCAGTCTGATAACTGCAGTGTGGCAAATAGCCAACAACTAAAGTTACAGTTTAATCCATGGACTTTTGTCTATCATTATCACCATACATGCACAGATAAAACTCATAACATTGATTCTCCTACAACAGATGTTTTATCTTCTTTAATTTGTTTGGTGGTTGTTTGTGTATTTGTTTTACAACAGGATGATACAATCTATTAAATGACATATCAGTCTGACAGTGCACTCAGAGTCCAGGCCACAGACAGCAGCCGTAATTCCCACAGTGATCATAACTATGTTCAGTGATGTTTTGTGTTTTATAGATAATGTACTACAGACATTTCCAAAGGAAAACAGGACAGTCTGGAGGTCTCTGTTGAAAGAAACTAGTTCCAGGTGTGATATTTATTATGCAATTCCATCACCTGTCTGTGAGTACTTGAACAAAAACACACAAAACCCAACACAAGCAGCAAATCCCAAAAATGTGAATAAAAAGAAGAGTCTTCAGTTTAAAGTAGCGTCAGTGTGCTACTTGTTTGGTGTCAAGAACTGCATGTAGTGCAATTTTTAGCCTACGTTATGTGGTGAAGTGGGCTTACTTTCAAAATGGACCCTATCTCTCTGAAATCCACAGTATGACATCACAAAACAAAGTTTGAAATAGACATTTTTAACCTATAAATATGGATAAAAGTATAAAGTTTGATTGTGGTCTGATCATGAGGAGCAGAAAGCTGTTATAGAAGTGAGCAGAATGACGTCATCCCAGACTAAGATGTAATATTTCGCAAAAGCTTACAGCTAATAATCACTCATTACAACATAACTCATGATAATAAATAAACTGAAGCTAATTAAATAGTACTCTTAAGTGGAGGTGAAAGCAGCGCTCCGTCTCTCCACCAGGGGGCGATATAAGTTTTCCGGGGCGGTAGTTTGAGCAGCAGCAGAGGAAGTGGAGCAGCATCGTAAACATGGCTGACAGTGGAGTGACAGGTGAGTTAGAGAGTGTGTAACAGCTGGACTTTATAACTATTTCCAGGTATTTTTCGTAACTTCACTTTATGCGCGGCGACAAAATGTCTCGCGCTTTTAATTCGTGTCTCGCGGACTTTGTGTTCGGCTGTTAGCGAAGTAAAATCCTCCCATGCTAATGATGCTAACGTTAGCATTGTGAGCAAGTCAACGGTACACCGCGCTGCACGGAGGAGTTTAACGGCAGACATCGTCATATTGTTGCATCATCTTTTTCAAGTAGTGTTTTAAGATAATAAAACAATTTAAACGCCTTTTTAAAGGTGTTAATGTGTTGTGCAGATGGTGGTTAACAAGTTGTGTGACTGGTGTCGTTAGCATGATGCAAACCGAGCGTGTTCAGTGACATATAAACAGCTAACAGCATCACCTGAACTGAGGGACTGGAAGCTGAATGAAAGCTGGTCCAGACACTACAGCATGCTATAATGAAATAACAGGAGTGTGTGATGAGCTGATGTAATCATGTCATCATCTACTGACTGTTTCACAGATGGACCTGGCAACACAGATGACATTGAACGATCAAAGGTGAGTATGTGGATATTTTCCCACATCTGTCTCATGTAAGGCTGCACATCTGGCTTGATTGTCATGTTTTTGTTGGCATGTTTGCTTCACAGTCTGTAGGCAGAGAGCTGACCAAAGAGGAGAAGCAGCGGCTGAGGAAAGAGAAGAAACAGCAGAAGAAAAACAAAGAGAAAAAAGATGACAAGGCTCCACAGGAAAGTGAAAAGAAGAAGAAGAAAGAGGAGAAGCCTGTCAGTCCAGCTGCTCCAGCTCCCCAGCCTCCAACACAACCAGCTCAGAAAGGTGCATGTTATAAGGACAGCAGCACTGGTTGTTGTTGTTGACTGTGTGTCATGTGAGCCACATTTGTGTTAAAGGAAAAGTGTGTAAGATTTAGGGGGATTTCAGATTGCAACCAGCTGACACTTCCCCAAGTTTAATTAAGTGTTCATTGTGTAGGAGGTTTTTACAGTGAGCCGAATTATCCACAGAGGTCTCCTCTTCCCCAAAACAATCCGACCAGGTGATTAAAACCGGTACAAACACTGAATAAAGCAGTTTCACATTACAAATCAGTGTTTCTCCGACGCTGTTTGGCACATAGCAGAGGGGTCACTAGCCCTGCACCTGCTTATGTGTGCTCACTTATTTCTGATCCAGACATTCAGGAGGTTTTTCACCAGGAAACAAATTGTTCATAGAGCTTTCCTCCTCTCCAAAACAAACGGACCTGGGGTCTCATTTGTAAACACTGCGTACACACAAAACTAAGCCTGGAAAAGGCGTATGCAACTTCCCACGGAAAAGTTGTGATCTATAAAAACATACTTGATGGGAGAAACTTTGACCCATGCTTACGAACATTTCGGAGACAGGAAATTGGCGATGAAGATGGTGAGGTGAAAGCCTGATTGTAGAAATTGTCAAATATCTTTTGATGCACAATCCTACACACTGTTTTAAAAATGTGACCCCAGGTGATTTAAACTGGCAAAAACACTGAATAAAGCAGTTTTATATTTAAAAAGTCAGTTTTTTTCCGACACTCCTGACGTGGAGGGGCTGCAAACTATGGTAACTGACGTAAAAGGTTTGGTTTGTCTGTTTTGGTGCTACTGTGGAAACATGATCGTGCAACATGGCAATTTCCAGAGATGAGGACCTGCTTCCTGTGTAGATATAAATGGTTAATTCCAAGGAAACAAAAACACAATAATTCTTATTTTCATGTCATTAAACACCAAAGCAAACATACTTATTATATTACATTCCATTTCTGCCAATATGTCCCCCTTAATCCTACACGCTGGACCTTTAATTTGTCACTTGATTGCTGGCGTTTGACAGTGAGGTACATCTTTGTCAAGAAAACTTTTCATTCTCTCTGACTGAGATCCATTACTCTTTATAATCTGCTGTGTCTCCCTCAGCTCCTTCAGCAGTGCCTGCTCCTGCACCGGTTCCTGTGCCTGCCTCAGAAACTCCTGCCCCTGCAGACAAGCCAGCTAAGAGTAAAGCAGAGCTGAAAGCTGAGAGGAGAGCTCGGCAAGAAGCTGAGAGGGCGTCCAAACAGGGCAAGAAGGGAGACGTGGGAGGACAGCCGGCCGCAACGGGGAAACCTAAAGCACCGCCTAGTGAGCTGCAGCCAGGTACTGTGACCAGGAGGTCAGCAGGAGTAAAAATTCTACGTTATATACACTGTAAAAAGAGTCACACTCTTATGTGTTTCCAGTGGTGAAGAGGCTCCCAGAACATGTTCAAGTGGACAACCCGGACGTTTTAAAGAAACTGGCAAAGAAATTGGAAAGACAACAGGTTAGTTACTTTATGTGTCATTTCTTAAAATCTTGATTAATGAAAGCAGGTTTTGTCTGCTTCAGGACAGCTTGCCTTGGCATAATGAGCACACGCTGCCACTCACAAATTTTGTCAGAAACCTATGTGTGAGCATTTTCGGTTCAGTCTTGAGAAATATTAGAAATAACTCTAATTAGGAATTGCCTGGATCTCAGTTGTTCACCTGTTGACACTTGTTACAAATAAGATACTATATAATGTGTGTTGATCTATAGTTTAAAGGCTAATCTGGTCCACCTGCTTGTAATAAATCACAAAGGATATAAGTCACAATCGTCACTGGGAACTGACAGTTCCATCAATAGATCTTTAAATATAAAAACCTTTGAGACAGTGAGAATTCTGCTTTTGATGTAGGGGGATATAGGGGATGTTTTGGAGTAGATAACAGGTCAGCAGTGTTGGCCACATACAAGTGGTATACATCATCTGAAAGCTGGGGACCTGAAGATTAATTTGAGATGCAGCTCAGTAACTGCCAAGTTTTATTTTGTCATAAGTCTGTAATAAACAGTTTATTTTGGTTCAGCGTCCATCAAATTTTAAAGGTTTAGTGTGTACAGGGGCTTAGAACATTATGATCAAAGTTGTTCCCATGCTCATTTATGTCTCATAAGTTGTAGCAGCAATTTTTGAGTTGATACCGTTTGTTACACAGTTTGGGTTCTAAATTGAAGCATGTTTTACCACTGGAGACTTTGTAAAAATGGTCAAAAATCCCTCCAAAATACCACATTAGGACACCAAGACCTTGGGGAACACCACAGGAAATTCTATGCTGTGATTTAGTATGAAAAACTTTTGACATTTGGAGATTTCTGCAAGAATTGCATTTTTTGGCGATTGGATGGTGAGTACACTAGCTTAACATGGTAGGTACCACTGAATTCTTTAGGTCTCCTAGTTTCATATAGTACCAGTATCATCACTCTAGGTTTAAAACTCAGCCATTTATAGCCTCTGAAAGACAGGAGTGTCCTGGCAGGTCTGAGAATCATGTTTTTGTCACTCATTTGCAACCCCACAATAACCATGAGTCTTAACTGCATGTGATCATACCTAACATTTCTTTCAGACACCAGGGTGCAATGCTGCTACAAATGTCAAGGTTTGGGTTTTGTAAATGTAAACGTGTGCCATTTACATTTGTCTAGTTTTGTTTGCTAACCTGTCGTTGTTCCTGTACTGCACCACTCGGGAATTCAAAAGTTAATGATGTCGACTTATTGTTTGGTCCTTTGAAACAGAGGAGGTGTGTTGGTGGGATGTGTTTGTTTGAGTAGTTATAATGTGTTAATTGTTTCTTTTTGGTGTTTGTTTACTGCTCTGTTTGTATTTGGAGAGTATTTACTACTAAATCATACATAATTAGGTTTTGTTGCCAAAGTTATACAGGAACAAGTCTTAATAAATTTTATTTGAGAGTTGTGTTTCATTAGTTATTTATAAATTTGGCTCTATAGTAGTTGTTTGTTTCTCAACATGTTCCATTGAATTCTACTTTTGACTTTTGCCTATGCTGTGCTGTGACTGTGTGTTAACCTCATGATCTGTTTTAACCCCTGAAGTACCATGGACTGATGGCAGTGTGCTCTAATCTGCTTTATTTCAGATCCCACTTCGGTCGGACTATGGCTACAAAGTCAGCCTGTTTTCTCATCTCCACCAGTACAGTCGCAAAGCCCCTCTAACACAGCAACTCAGGTAAACTGGTAACATGCCACATGGTACAGAGGACAATAAATTGTCCTCAAGGAATACTTAACTCACAAAATGATCATTTCAATATCAATTACTGACCCTGTGTTGTTGAATTTGTGAAAAAAAGTCTTTCTTTCATGCCTTCACTGTGAACAAAGAATCCAAAACCAGTAAAAGTTCTTGATGAATTAAAGTAAAGGAGGCCATGTTTATATTAGAGCATCCATTTACATCTCACACAACTCATGCAGTATAATCCAACTTTTATTTATCCACTTGTATATTCAGTACATTCCAAACACACGCATTTTCAACTTTGAAAAAAACAGTCTAACACTCTCTCGTTCTCTTCAGATTACCTTAAATCTGACTTATCATTATTGACTGTTTTCTTACGTTGCAGCATTCCCTCCTCAGTGATTCATCCTGCTATTGTTCGCCTGGGTCTCCAGTATTCACAGGGCATTGTGGCGGGTTCCAACGCTCGCTCTGTCGCCCTGCTGCATGCCTTCAAACAGGTACACAGCACAGACTGTTTAGTCTAAGTGCTTTGCCATCACCTTGTCCTTTCTCTCCAGTATTTAGACCAACACAGCAACAGAAATGCAGGGTATCATTTGTTTGGTTCTGTTTGTAATCAAGTACAATGTAAGTCCAAGATGGAGACAGTCCTCATAGCTTTAAATGTTGCAGTGTTACTGGTTCATACTTCTTCATAAAACGCCAAGCCAACAATACAGTCCAGTTTCCAGCTTTTCAAGCAGTGCAGCTTAGCGTCATATTTTCAGCAGCCAGCTATCACTCCGCAGTTTCTTCTGAATTATCACTGTGGACAGATTTTAAGTAAACAAACTAAAAGCAATGTTTTTTCCTGCTTCAGGTAATAAGGGACTATACTACGCCTCCCAATGAGGAGCTATCTAGAGACTTGGTCAACAAGCTGAAACCTTATATCAGGTACGAAAAGTTTTAATTAGAATTTTTGTCAGAAATGATGATTTTGCCATGAACTTCTTTTAATTTATCACTCTATTTATTTAATTTCACAGTTCATCATATGAAATTGTTCCTTTTGTCTTATTTTTCTTGCAGTTTTTTGAATCAATGTCGCCCTCTGTCAGCCAGCATGGGTAATGCAATCAAATACATCAAGAAGGAGATCTCCAATATTCCCAGTCAATGCAAAGAAGAAGAGGTGATTGTCACGCTTGCTTTTCTGCCCAGAGATGACAAACTCAACATGTTGTAGCAAACATACTCCATGATACAGTAGAGTTATTGTTAGTGATTTACAGTTTTGATCTCGTCCCTCATCATGCATGTTCTTTTTCTCCGTGTAGGCAAAGAGCAAACTGCTGACGTGCATCGAGTGCTACATTAATGAGAAGATCATCCTTGCTGCTAAAGCTATTGCCAAGTACTCCATAGAAAAGATCAGTGATGGAGATGTCATCCTAGTTTATGGATGGTAAGACTGCCTTGAAAAAAAAAAAATCATGTTTAAATGTCATAACTATGTGTTTGTTTTAGTTACCAAGCATTGCCTAATTGTTTTTCTAGCAAAGGAAATGTGTCACTCATGCGTCCCGACATAAAATCCTACTTTAAAACCACTCTTAACACTTTCACTTCCCTTTTCTTGTCTCGCCCATTCAACTCCTTCCTTCCACATTCTCCTTTCACATTATCACCGTCTCTGCTTCCATCTTTCTCCGCTCAGCTCGTCACTGGTCAATCACATCCTTTGCGAGGCCTTTGAGAAGGACAGGAAGTTCCGTGTGATCGTGGTGGACAGCAGGCCTCGACTGGAGGGCCGGGAGGCCCTGAGGCGCCTTGTCCAGAGAGGCATCAGCTGCACCTACGTCCTTATCTCAGCTGTCTCCTACATTCTTCCAGAGGTGCGTTCACACATTCGAGCCTCAGGAGAATAAGCAAGGCATTGATGTGTACCCAGGGAGTAGCCAACTGTTGGAGCTTGGATAGGCAGAAAAAAAAGGCAGAATTTGAAATTCCTCCTTCCCCCCTGCAGCTCTCCCGTTTGTCATAAGCCTTTCCCAAGAGACGACCGTGGGCATATACATGTGCTTTGTAAATAATCACTTGTTTCCCGTATATTGATTTACTTAATCCTGTTTCACGTCACAGTTCGCTCAGCATATTCTTTTAGTCCCTTCTTGCCCTGCTCTCACTCTATCTGTTTATTACACCTCAACTGAGAGAGGAATTAGCCAGCGAGTCATCCCACAATCTCTCCACCTCACTTCCTGCCGCTGTGGACTGCTTCCTTGGGAGGAGAGCAAATAGCAGCTCAGGAGATAAACCTTTGGTCGCTGGCTGTAGCAGCTCAAATTCAGCGAGTGCAAATCCCCAGCACCGAGTGTCAAAGCAGACTGGTCGCCAGCAGCATCACCAAGTCTATTCTGTGTAAGTGATTGCTGATCTGGCGGCGAGTCGGGGCTGTCTGGTCCCTCGGAGCTGGGGTTGCCCTGGCTGAATTGAGGTTGCTGCAGCCGCTGACTTGGGGTCTGTGTCAGGAGCTGCTGTCCACTCTCCTCCCGGCAAGGTGGTCTGTAGCGGTGGAGAGAGGCAGAGGACACACTGTGAGGCTCTTGCTAACATAAGCTACATAGATGTGAGCTTAAAGCAGCCGCTACGAGCCTTTGGGTCCAGTTCGCAGAAGGCTTAACATTTTCTCTCTGTCTCTGAAACGTTTCGCTGATATTGACACGCATTTGTTTTCATTTACTGTCAGACTGTCTTTTAGACTGTCTTTCTGATAAGTCTGTCTTCCTTTTTTGGGTTGCTTTGCAGTGTAGACAGTTGTTGCCAATGCTGTAATTAGCAACTTTATCAGCAGGATTCTCAGCCAATGAGTCAGGCTTTCACCAAATGGGATGTGCACGTGCATCTGCGTTTGTAGAAGAGCCAACAAGAACGCCCCCGCTCTGAAATGACCTGTGATCTTCTTATCATGGACAAGATTTTCTAAAGTCTGAAAAACTTGACAGGAGGAGGGGCATAAGTTTAGCTTCCTCTTAGTCCGTTTGAATTACAGTATGCTTTAAGTTTAATATGGGGTTTTGCCCAGTGATGGCAAAATGAAACTGCCTACTCCAGCATCTAGCTTTTTCATTTTCCTTACTGTTCTTTGTGTGTTTATGTCATAATAATGTCTTGAACTTGCATCACAGGTATCGAAGGTGTTCCTTGGTGCTCACGCTCTGCTGGCCAACGGTTACGTCATGTCTCGCGTGGGGACGTCACAGATAGCTCTTGTGGCCAAAGCCTTTAATGTGCCTGTGCTGGTGTGTTGTGAGACCTACAAGTTTTGTGAGAGGGTGCAGACAGATTCTTTCGTGTCCAATGAACTAGGTATGGAACAAATACTCAGCAGCTTGTGTCTGTTTCTTTTGTTGCTTTTGCTCAATTTTACATCTGTATTGATTTAAATTCCTTCCAAACATTAGAGAATTTATCTTCATCTGTGTTTTCCAGATGACCCTGATGACCTCATCGTGACCCGTAAAGGGAAGACCCAGCTAGAGCACTGGCAGGACGTGCCCTCACTCGGCCTGCTCAACCTGGTGTATGACGTGACGCCGCCTGATTTCGTAGACTTAGTCATCACAGATCTGGGAATGATCCCATGCACCTCAGTCCCTGTGGTGCTGCGAGTCAAAAACGTGGACCAGTGAATGACCTCCTGCTCACACCAGTCTGAGCTCAGAGGTGGTTTCTCTGTGTTTTTGAGGGGGAAGTATGTGAGCTTGAATGCTTGCACACAACACAAAATATCGTGCTTTTAGCATGCAATAAATATATATCTGAAATGGCATACGCTTTTTAAACAGAGTCCATGTGTGTTTTTATGGTCGCATTGGATAATTACAGAGATTTGTCCCCCTGTCTGTTTTTTTATATCGGGTATAGGCAAGATGTTTTGATAGATCCATGTTGTGAACTGTTTCTTTACAACAGAACATTTAATTGCCGGTATTTAGAGCAGAACAATTCCACTGTGGTGCACAACATGCCCTCGTTGTCAACCACAGCATGCAATTTTAAAACTAGCCAGAAATGGTTCCCTAATTACAGCTGGAGCTGCTTTATCTCTGAAGGTTTTATGTGAGCCAAGATTCCTCAGACTAGTTTTTAATGACCTGATCAGTTGAACAGGACGAAAAAGATTGAGACATAAACCAGGTGGTAAAGCAGTTTTTGGCAAAGGATCTCAGATTGTTTATTGTGCCCACAAAGTTGGCACACGATGCTCACATGCTTCAAATTTCATGTTGGCACGAATTTTAGACCACAACAAAAGGGAAAAACAAAAGTTGGAAAGAGCAACATTTTGTTCACAGTTACTGTATTTTTCCTCATTTTTTTTCTCCTCATTTTTACTTAATCCATGCATGAAGGAGATCTACATTAAAACGAGAGTGGCCCCATCTAGAGCCAGTTGGTGCTTCTCAAAGTCAAGGAAGGATCCTTGGACGGCTGAATTTCAAGGAGGTTACATCATCGAATCCCGATGAAAGACTGTTTTACTCAAGGATCCTTTGAATTCTACTGAGGACTGAATCCTTCCTTCAAAGAATTTTCAAGTGTACATGTGTGTAGCCTCAGTCGTTATGAAGCACCCACAATTCTTCTGGCACTGTTTGCCTGAATTGAAGGTGGGGCCTCTTCAGTGACGCACACCTGGGCACTCGCTAGCCTGTTCTAATTTGTGTTCACCGAATGCGAGGAAGGAGTCTTGCCAATCTTCTGTAGGACCCGTCCTACCCAAGAATCAATCAATTTCAATCAATCAATCAATCAATCAATTTTATTTATAAAGCCCAATATCACAAATCACAATTTGCCTCACAGGGCTTTACAGCATACGACATCCCTCTGTCCTTATGACCCTCGCAGCAGATAAGGAAAAACTCCCCCAAAAAAAACCCTTTAACGGGGAAAAAAAAACGGTAGAAACCTCAGGAAGAGCAACTGAGAAGGGATCCCTCTTCCAGGACGGACAGACGTGCAATAGATGTCGTACAGAACAGATCAGCATAATAAATTAACAGTAATCCGTATGACACAATGAGACAGAGAGAGAGA